TAGTTACCCTTGTTCTTGAGGCCACGAGAGAAGTCATGTTGCAAGTAATCATATGAATTTGATATTCGTTCGATATTTTGATAATATGTATGTTGTGATTCCCTTAGTGGTGTTATGTGAACGTCGACTACATGACACTTCACCATCTTTGGGCCTAAGGGAATGCATTGTGGAGTAGTTATTAGATGATGGGTTCCCAGAGTGATAGAAACTTAAACCCTAGTTTATGCGCTATTCCGTAAGGGGCTGATTTGGATCCATATGTTTAATGCTATGGTTAGATTGTTATCTTAATTATTATTTCATAGTTGCGGATGCTTGCGAGGGGTTAATCATAAGTGCGAGGCTTATTTAAGTAAGAACGGCACCCAAACACCGGTCCACCCACACATCAAATTACCAAAGTAGCGAACGTGAATCAAACCAACATGATGAAAGTGACTAGATAAAATTGTCCGTGTGCCCTCAAGAACGATTTGCTTATTATAACAGATTGTTTTGGCCTGTCCTTTGCTACAAAAAGGATTGGGCTATCTTGCTGCACTTTATTTACCGTTACCATTACTTGCCCATTACAAATTGTCTTACTATCAAACAACTTGTTACCGACAATTTCAGTGCTTGCAGAAACTACCTTGCCGAAAACCCCTTGTCATTTTCTTCTACTCCTCATTGGGTTCGACACTCTTACTTATCGAGAAGACTATGATTGACCCAATATACTTGTGGGTCATCAACCGATCAGATCGATCAGGGAGCCACCAGGTTGGGGAAGAGCTGAAGCGAGAGAGGGGCCCATCTACAATTGGCACCCCTGCCGATGACGGGTGGTCTGGCCACATCGGCACCACCCATCTCTCCCACCACATCTCCAAACATCATCCCGTGCGACGCCCAACGTCAACTCCTGGCCTGGATCTGCAACTGGCCTTGTCCCGGCTACCTGCCCAATGGTGCGAGTGCCAGACTGGCCACAACCTGCAACCGGGGAGGACACCGGAGACATCCACCAGAGCCACGCGCCAACGTACAAATGCCAGAGCATGTCCAGCTGCCGCCGTGAAATGACCTGCACTGCCGCCATGGGCTGCCACCACGTCATCGTAGCCCACATCCGTGCAACGACCAGAACGACCGCTACCGCCACCCGAGCCGTCCGCCGGCGACCAAGGCCTAGATCCGGGTGGGTCTCAGCAGGCAGCCACCAGCCGCGCCACCTGGCCCTTCCCAGTCAATTGAGCACATGGGGGAGAGGACGCCCACCACTGTCGCGTCGCCACCCCCACCAGCAGAGAGCCACAGTAGGGGAAGCCGCCAACAACCTGCGCCGCCCATGGCCCACAACCCCTGAAGTCGGATATGGACGTGCCGGATAGTCCCACTACTGCCGCCTTCTCTGGCCCCAAGGAGGCACCACCTCGACGTTGCCCATCACACCGCCGTCCTAGCACCGGCGCCACCTGTACCGGCCCGGGGCCGTGCTGCCACTCCCGAAGTGAAGTGCCGCATCCAGGCAAGGTTGCCTTGGCCCACGCGCAAAGACAAGGACTCGGCGGCCTCGGCACTGGCAGGGCTTTGCCTGGCGATGCCCTCGGGCGGCGGCAAAGGAGGAAGGAAGGGAGGTTGGAGGCCCGGTTGTGGCGCAAGGGTTTGCTTCCCGGTCGCTCGCTGGAGCGGAGGGGAGGAGAATAACCCCTGTATTGCCTTCTCGGATGGATAGCCTCCTCGCGCTGGTCAACCCAACGACTAACTTTGAGTGCACCCTCCATTTTATTTCAGGTTTCCCCAATGGGCACAAGCTATAGTGGTTTATTAGAAAAGCACGGCAAGGAAGAAACAGAAACAAGAGGTTCTGAAATGTCACCGCAATAAAAAAGTGGTTCTGAAATGGTGTGCTGGCGGATTTGCCAGAAATCATAATAATTCAAGGTTTATGCCGGTCTTTGCTGAGCCATCCAAACCACGTAGCGGGTCAGAGGAAAGCTCCAGCCAAGCAAGACCGGTACTATACGTGCGAGACGTTTTGCAATTGTTACTCTTGCTTTTTTTGCCCCCATTGGACAGAGACATTTTTCTTTGGAGTTACTTGCTACTGTTGATCCTGTCAAATAAAGTAAATATTAGCTATCGTTGATTTGGTCTAGTGAATTTGTGAGGGAGAACGGAGCTTGGTTCGCTGTCTCGGTGGCACTAGATTGTGATTTGTGAGTAGCAAACCAGTTAACAACCTATCCCCCGGTGGCGCTAGATTGTGATTTGTGACTTGATTAAATTATTAGTAGCTTGATTTGTTATTGTGAGTTGAACTAGAACTAGAACTCTAGGACGTGATTTGATGTATTTTTTCTTGTAAGGAAAGCCTAAATATGTCATTTTCTTGTATGGGAAGTCCAGCCACCTCGTATATATGTAAGGGGTGACGGCCGATTAAACAACACAAAATCGAACAAATCAATATACTATTTTTTTCATATACGTTTTTATGTCTCCACAGTTTTTCTCTCTCGTTCTTCGCTGTTTCTTAGGTTTGAGAGCTGTGAATCCCGAGGCTCTAGGGGCGAGCGAATCGACCTAGGGCAGCTCATTCGACGTGAGCTATGATGCATCATCCCCGACGTCAAGGATACACGTGACGTGTTCGTGTGTCAACAGTTCTGAAATGGTGTGGTGGCGGATTTGCCAGAAATCATAATAATTCAAGGTTTTTGCCGGTCTTCGCTAGGCCATCCAAACCACGTAGCGGGTCAGGTCGGAAAGCTCCAGCCAAGCATGACTGGTACTATACGTGCGAGACGGGTTGCAATTGTTACTCTTGCTTTTTATGCCCCCATTGGACAGAGACATTTCTCTTTGGAGTTACTTGCTACTGTTGATCCTGTCAAATAAAAAAAAACGAGCTATTGTTGATTTGTTCTAGTGAATTTGTGCGGAGAACGAAGCTTGGTTCACTGTCCCGGTGGCATTAAGACTGTGACTTGTGAGTAGCAAACCAGTTAACAACCTATCCCCCGGTGGCGCTAGATTGTGATTTGTGACTAGATTAAATTTGTTAATAGCTTGATTTGTTACTGTATTGCGGACGAATTGCAGCGGCAGCACGTTACTGCATGTAAGAATACTGATGATTGAATCCAGAAAATCGCAGTTCTTCGGTGGAGACTTTTCGTCAGCAGTCCGGTCGGCACAGGTAAACACCACCGGGTAGCGAGATAGCTGCTTGTCCCTAAATTCGGCTGCCAAATCAAGCTGGCACCAAACTAAGTAAACACTCCAGGACGGTCGAATTGGATAGAATTTGGGCGAACCCGGCGGAACCAAAGCTGGCTCCCAGACTCTCGAACTACAAAGCTACTCCTTCTCTATAATTTAGTATAAGACGTATTTTGTCAAACGGAAATCCCTTTTGGAGCTCGGCCTCCGAATTCAAATTTGAAATTTCATCAAAATTCATATTTTTACATTTCAAAAAATTCTGAAAAAAAGTACAGATATACATGAAGGCATAACAGACATGTGTGTAAATTTTCAGTTCAAAACATTGAAATGAGGGTTGTGCAAAAAAGACAAATCTAGGGTTGTTTAATACATGATACTATTCATCCTTTCAGACCATGAATTTGTCTTTTTGTACAGGTCGCAACTCAAGATATTTCATCATGAATTTTTACAGACATGTGAGTTACATCCTTACATACAAGCATTTTTTTTCAGAATTTTTTGAACCATAAAAGTTTGAATTTGAATTTTTCAAAAATAAAGGCCTCCATGGAGATTGGCCTCCAAAACGCCTCTCTCTTTATCAAATGTCTTTTTAAATTACAGAGGGAGTACTTGGACTATGGAATGAGCGCACAGTTCCAAGAACCACGTGTACCTGCGACAAAGCGGCTAGCACAAGAAGAAAGCAGGGAGCTCCCCACCCAAGTTTCAAAATTGGAATGAAATTTCGTTGAAATTTTCGACATTTCGCATATTTCAGAGCGGTCCAAAATACTTGTAACCCTGAATTTTCGGTCTCAATTCAAACTAATATTGAAAATAGGTTAAAATTCATTGAATTTTGAAAACTCAAATACGAAATAGTTCATGAAATATGTGAAATTTTCGGTGGCCTCCAATTTTTTTTTTGCTTCCAAAATTGGAAGCCTTGTTCCCACCCTACCTGCGCATCGATGGTCCTACCAAGATGGTGATTTGATGCAGGCCTGATTAGAGAATCTAGCAAAGTATAGTCAGCGAATCCATCCAAAAAACTATGGTGCCGGCGGCTGGGATGCGTTGAATTCGGCGCCGGCAGCGACGGCCATAGTTCTACCGATTTAGGAGCCCGCTGGCCAGAGAGAACTAAATCTAGGCGGGGGAGGAGCGCGGTGGGTCCTACGAGCGTTGGCATTGGCGTGTGGTGGCCGGCAGAGGCTAGAGGGGAGGCGCCGGAGTAGATGCGGTGCGAGGGTGGGATGGGTGCGGCGAAGGGAGGAGTTTTTTTGTTCTCAAGCAGGTCGCGCTGAGTAAAAATAGGAGCCCACGGCGCCGAGGAATATTTTTTTTACTTTTCTAACTAGTTTAGGAGATCGGTAAGGCGCCGCTTTGAGGAGTAAAACTGAATAGTTTTTTATGGGATTGGCTAGAGATGCCTTTAGTTTATTGTGAACTGTGCTCGTCAATAAAACTCAAAACTAAAATATAATGCCTCTATTTACCGATTGAAGTAATATAAGCCTTGCGGTCAGTATGTGTGGCAACGCTTCAGTCGAAGTGACTGACTCCTAGTCTTTGATCGAGCCAAGTTTCCAACCTGGCAAGCGGGTCCTGTACTCCTGTACGCTTTGGAAACATTCCCTCTCGGGTCCTTCCCGCAATCCACGGCATAGGCGCCAACCATGGCACTATATATATGCGCCTGGTTTACGGCTCACACCCTCAAACCCGCAACTTCTTGCAACCCCACAAGCAAAAAGGTAGCCAACACATCTCTGTTCCCAAAAGGCCCAAACCAAAAGATGAGCCTCCTCGACGCGCTATGCTGTCTGCTCGCACTGCTGTTGCTACGGCTGTCGACGGCGCAAGCATCCGGCTTGCAAAAGAGCCGGCCGGCGAATGGAACCGTTCCCTCCTCCGCCACGCTTGCCGGTTGTCGGAAGAGCTGCGGCAACCTGAGCTTTGAGTACCCTTTCGGCATCGGCGCCGGCTGCTTCCGGGACCCGGACTTCGAGCTCATATGCGACAACCACAACACCACGCAGGCCCCCATGCTCTTCCTGCACGACGGCATCACCAAGGTACACATGGACATCAACGCTACTACCCACTGGAAGATGAGCATGAGCAACACTGAATTGCAAATCAATAATGAATTTCTAGTATCATTTTCCCGTACCATCTATTTGAGACCGGACGTCCACATATACCACATCTCATGGTATCCTGGGAGATCTTTCCGTTTTCTCGCCATGGAACCAGGCATCATAGGCTGCGACTTCGACGTCAGCATGCTCGAAGATTCCACACAAACGATGGTGCGACGGTGCACAGTTACATGCCCCAGCAGAAATACCACGGCCGATGAGGACGGTGGACGGAACTGCAACAACACAAGAGGATGCTGCTCCTTCATGGTTACTGATGTTGGCGCCACCGTCCGGCTCAAGTTCGTACGCCGCCCAAGGACAGGAGGGAAGCATGAATCTCAAGGGCACAACAGCCGAAGCTCCATCCAGGATAAAATCCATGTTAGCATTCGAGCTAGTCTGTCGTGGGGTGTCGTGGACGATCAACTCACATCGCCTGGAAGCTTCCAAAATAGAACAGATTATGCATGTCTCAGCAACCACAGTGGAGAAGCACCGCAAATTTCAGCATCACCCTACTACTTTTATAATTACTTTTATAATTGTCAGTGCGACAATGGTTACCAAGGCAATGCCTACATAGCCGATGGCTGCTCACGCGACAAAGGTAATTACTCTCAATTAAAGTTACTATTTAAACAAGGGTTACTTTTTCTATATATCACCATCTCCGCGCCCTAGGTAGCGTACGTTTCCTCAAAAAATAAAATTGTTAGCTGGTTTTACTAATTATCAAGGACATGTGGCAATAATCCTCCCAATGCTATTTCTCTCAATGTAAACATATCATCATCTCAACACAACATATTAGTATGCTACTTATATTTCATAAATATTTTACAACTATAGAATAACAAAATGCAATACTCATAATAAATGCAATGCAATGACATAAAATTTGTTTGAAGTCAAACTTAGTAAAGTTTGACCAACTTTATAGGAAAAAACATCAACATTCACAATACGAAATCTATCATTATATGTATCATGGAATTAATTTCTATACTGTATAACTTTAGTAATACCTCCTTCTGGGCTTATTAGCCCCCATTGAATTTTTGGTAAAAATTTGACTACATATTTGACTAGCAAAATGTCAAGGTATGTCAACAAAAAAAATATTGTTGGATTTGTATTAGAATGTAGTTTGAATTATTATTTTCCACGTCTAACTTATATTTTATTAGTTAAAATCAATGTCAAAATATAACCCAAAATACGAGTGAGACTAGTAAATCGGGATAGAGGTAGTATTGTAGATATTGATATATCTTTTATATTAATTTGGTTAAACTTTGCGTAGTTTGACTTCAAACAAATCTTATATGTTGAGTAAAAAGAAATGAAGGGAGTATGTAAAGTTGCACAAAGTAGGAATGGATGACATAACATTGTGTTATTTTTAAGTTTATTTATAAGTAGCACGAGAGATTCCAATGCACGAAACCGGCCCATCTATCCATTCAATGGCTTGCGCAGTCTCTTCATTGTCAACCTCTACTTTGCTTCGGCTCGCTGCATTATCGTTGTTCTTCTTTGTAGTAGTGTCTTCCACTCCACTTTAAAGCAGTTAGGCCTTTTTTACGGGGCCCTTATTGTTTTATGGGACAACTTAAACATTCGCTATCAACCTCCGGTTCAGTAAAACCTGAACTGGAAGGTTTTTTCGTCACCCGAGGGGATGGTTTCATGAGTGGTTCCCGGACCGTTATAAGTATTACTATCTCCGTCTTATAATACATGACGCTTGTGCAGTTCTTATGTCTTATATTTTTAAAAGGAGTAGTACATTCTATTGTGTTAGTGTGAGGCATGTGACATATGGTTGTTTGGCTAATGTCAGGTTTTAGTCATTTCCCATCACCAAATGCATAGTTTTAAAAATAGGACCCCCCCCCCCCGACCCTTCAAAATAATTAGGATTTGATCATATAGGATACCTACAAGGTAATTGTGTGTTAGTATTGAGTAAGCCGTAAGCTAGATGCACTGAGTCTTTTTCATTAAACCTGCAGGGTACAGACAATTACAACAGAAGACTAACTGCTCTAGATGGTGCGGGAACATAAGTATTCCGTTCCCTTTCGGCCTAGGACGCAGGTGTTCTGCAAGGATGTCGTTCCAGCTAAAATGTGCAAATTCAACGACGTCCACACTAAATTTCTATGCACCGAGCTTCACGGAAAAGCATATTGAATACATAAATATCAACGAGGGGCTAGTTGGTATTACGGCCTCAACCTATACTGAAGGTCAAACTACTTTCATTGTAAGAGAGGACCCTGCGCTCTACATTGGCTTAGGGATATCAACATCTTTCCGATGGGCCGTCGCCAATTTAACATGCCAGGAAGCTCAAGAGGACTTAACAAGATATGCATGTGTTAGTACTAATAGCACATGTTTGATTGTCAACTCGAGACAAGGATACCCTGCCGGTTACCGTTGCAAATGTATGGCTGGCTATGAGGGGAATCCATATATCACAACCGGGTGTCAAGGTGTGCATGCTCACTCTATTACCTCTTGGTCCTGGAAGATAAGATGCAACAATTTTGCAGTGTTAATTAATATGGTCTTTTTGGTTTGTACAAATAAGGTAGAAAATAATTTTGACATTAAATCATGTGTTACACTACGAAATATACCATGCATTGTGCTAATTTTTGATTTTCCATGTTTCGTTGTTCCTACATAATAATGTGTCCCTGCCATTGCTTTTTTTTGAGCTTGATCATTTATACCATAGATTAAGTATTTATATTCATATTTATGTGCTGTGAAATGAGCTAATTGTTTTGTCTCTTTTCTACCTTTGATCAAGATCTAAGTACTAACCTAACACCATAGGAAAAAATGGAACGGAAATATGTGAAGACATACATAATTTTGTTTCTATGAGCCAAAGTACTGATTGAAGCAAAATAATACAAACAAATGTACAAAGACTCAAAATTGCGGTATAGTTTGACTTAATGTATTTACCTCCCATTCTCCATTTTGGTTTCCGGGAGATATATTAATTTTACGTGACTAAAAAAATTGAAAAATAGAACTAATGTACATTAGTATGGAGTGAAATGTGTCACTGGTCCATTAACTCAAAGAGATTGCACGCTTTAGGCCAACAACTCAAGAACCGATCGATTTAGGCCGTAAACTCA